CCCGGTCGACAAAGAATCTAGACTCCTAAACCGTCAAGACCCAAAACGGCCGTCACTGTAGCGAGATATGCATCCTGAAATATGTAAGTAAACGGCCTTGCAACCTGCCAGAAGAAGGATTGCGATGTTCTCGAAAAACCGACCAGTTCAAGCAATATCGACATGCCCGTATCCTACATGAGCGAATACCAACTCAACAATGCCTCGGGCCATCATGAAGGCAGAATGACACGGAACCATTCTATCAGACCGTCATGTTCTCACACCATCATGTTTGCATGCTGTCATGTCATCGCACAGCCATGCGATTATGTCGGCATGGTCTAAGCCTATTGCTACATGTCTTGCTGCTTCAAGATGAACTGGTATCAGAGCTCTCCTGCATCCATATCTTTCGAAGATGTCCCGTTGGCATGTCGTGTCATTTACATTCCCTCACATGCCACAGTCTTGTCTCATCTGTTCCTTCAGCTAGCTTCTGGCCACCTCATGCCTGTATCTGGGCATCTTGTCGCATTACCAGTTGACCATCCCCTCACCCATGCAGCATTAAAGCAGTGTCAAAGAGATCTTCGATACTCAAGTCCTTCTGGCTGCGTCTTCTACCTGGTGCACCGTTGTGCTGTGTGCCTCGTCGAGACCGACACCCAGGGCCATCCTTTCGCGAGACCTTGGCTGATTGTGGAAAAACCCATTCTCCAGGCTTCAACCAAGCCAACCTGTGCAGAAAGAGCAGTGCGGCAGTTATCGCGACGGTGGATACACATAGTGGTGCTGGCAGCAGAAGCAGCAGCAGCAGCAGCAGCTTCGTCAGCAGCAGCAACAACAACAACATGATGAAGTCGCGATTGAAACACAAGCATGATCATAGCAAGACTAAGCACACCAAAATTTACAATGTCTATAGCTACCACAAACACTTGCAGTGCGACGGCTGTCACATGCATCGGGCTCACGATTAACATCATAGTGAGCCTCAGTGGTTACGATGATTCACGAAGATGACTTACATAGCAATTCAAGCACAAGGCACGGCAGCAGATATGAGACCACACATAGAAACCTGATGTCGAAGACAGGGGGCCTACTGCTGCCCAGCCCGACCGTGATTCATACAATGACCACAACGTGACAAGTTAACAGTTCAGGCCGGCACCACTCATTGGCTAGCAGGCGAAGTTGCCGCCAATTTAGGACCTGTGATTTTCTTCAGCTTGGACAGCAACTTCGGATGCACATGTTTGAATTTAAACCGCACGACCCAAAGCTTACACGAAGAATGAACCTCTCTCACTTGTTACAAAAGCTGGTTTTAGTCATGGTGTCCTGTATCCTCCAAACCGCAAGACCGCACTGCAGAACGCTGGCAGCTTGGCAGCAGGCACCGCCCGAAACTCCATCGCACCTTGACGGCGCCCATTTGAGGCTTGCGGGTTCACGGGTGAACTACCCAATCGCGTCACACTACCGCCGATGTGTTCTCCAAAACCGATTCCAAAGCCCTACTGCTGATCTCAGGCATATCCTCAAGGTCTAATAATCCTAATAACTCCCAAAAACAAAGCCAGCAAACCGAAAAATCTCAGAAAGGAGACCCTCAACCTGGGAAATGCAGCCCGTTGAGGCTGCCACGCATCGTCGGGGAGGCCAGCAAGCGCATGCTCCTGCCGAGTTCATGCTTTGAGGCGCCGGAGGCTTAGAGTTTAGGGTTGCCTGCTTGCGGAGCCCTGCTAGATCCTTCTTAGTTTGCAACTCTACGACTATGAGCCTTGGAATCTTGGGCCTCCAGAAACCTTCTCTACAGCTTTAGGGCTCAAGCCAAGGGTCACTTGAGCCCTGGACTGAACCCAAAACAAACCTCAATCTTAACTCATAAATATCTAAACCCCTTCCGCCAAAAGAAAAAACTCCGCACCCACCCCCCGCCCCCCGAGATCATCGACCGCTTGATTTTGCAGTTGCCGCAGCCCGATGCCCGACCATTGACTTTCCATTTGTGGGAACCCAGCCCAGACGTTTTGCTTCCCAATTTGACTGTTGAAGATGCTGCGATGCAACGACACAGAATCACTGCAGCCAGAGACATATCGCGTAATTAGGCCACGAAGGCAGCCTCCGGGCCCATCCGCCGCCCCCCCCCCCCTTCCCACGTTTCCGGCTACGCGTGCTCCTGCTCCTACTCCTGCGTCTACTACTGCTGTTGCTGCTGTGGGTTTGGGGTTTAGGGTTTAGGGTTTAGGGTGTCTCTTGTTCTAGCTTTGGATGCAATGCATTTCCACAGGCATCCTCATACCTATGGGTGCCTATGGGTGCCTTTGAGTTTCGTTTCGATACTGGTGGTCATATGCTGACCACTATGACAATGACGGATAATCTCGGTGATGGCTATGACATGGTTATGATGATGGTGATGATGCTGAAGACGATGACGGCGATAGAATCAGGAGAGCAACTGTCCCTAGAAGTATTACCGTGGTCGCGCTATGTCCGCTAAGGCGTTGTACTTCTTGAGCTTGGTGTTGCCACCTTCTCGCCCAGGCTCGTTGTGAATAGCTCCACGGCCTGTGGAGCACAGAAGACAATGGGAACACGCACGAGACAATACTTACCCGGCATGGGAGACTCAGCACAAGAGAAGGAGAAAAAGGAAGAGAAGAAGAAAGGTCAAGCGGACAGAAAGGCAAAAGAATGGAAGAGGAAGGAGAAGAGAGCGCAAAGAAAGAAAAAAGAACAAGAAAAGAAAAGGAAAATAATAATGAAAGGAGCGAAAAAGAGAAGGAAAAAAAAGAGAGTGAAAAACACAAGGAAGAAGGAAAAAAAGACAAAGAACGGAAAGAGATAGAAAAGGAAAAAGAAAAAGATTGTGCAGGCCTCGAAGATCGGCCAACGGCTGGAGCACATCTTAGAGCAACTCCAACTCTAGCTGCCAAGCTCTTGGAAATCCCGGCTCTTGTTGCACGCTGCATGCTTGGGACCACGAGTGCATCATCATCACCATCATCACCATCATCATCGTCATCATCGTAACCACCACCATCATCAGCATCATCATCATCACTCTCGTCATCAACACTACGAACTATCATCAACTTGGGTGTCATCATCATAAAAGCCCAAGCATGAATAACATCATCATGACCATCATCACCACCATGTCCGTGCCGTCATGCCCACCTTGAAACAATACCTCCGGAAACTTGTCTTGTTCTGTTTCCCTGCATGAGCTCCGTTGAAGAAGCCCGTGTCGGTGCACGGCACTCCTTTGGAAGATCATCGAGGTCACGCTCTGCACATGCTGCTGAAGTATTTCACGCCGTGACGCGGATGGACCTATTGCCGGCTACAAACCTCCAATAAAATGATCAGCAAGACTAACAAAAGCCAAGCGCGACAATCACCACCGGCCAGCTAAGAACTACAGCAACAATAAACGACAAGACCAGCGGAGCGCCTCTGAACCTCTGCACCAGAGCACCAGACGAAAACGCCCATGAGGATGATGATTATGCTAATCATGATGATGGTGATGATAATGATGATGATGATGATGATAAAAATGATGATGAAACCGATGATTTGAAGCTTCGTGTCCTACCTCTGAGAGTCGCAGAGGGTGCAAGCTCGCAACAGCTTGCAGTGACTAAGCGTCTGTCCACATGCACGGGGAACTCTGCGGACAGAGAGTCCTTGGTCCAGGGGGTAAGATGACGATGCTGATGCGACTCACACTGCTGACGATGCGGACGAATGACCACGCCGGTGACGACGGATACAATGACCATGACCATGATGATGAGGATGCTGACCCAATGATGACCCATGGCTGTTATAGCGGTCATTGTGGTCGCGGCTTTCAGCAGTATCCGCATGTGCAGCTGCAATGGAGTCGTGACTTCAACTTTCTCGGAATTTCGGGCTCCACATCAGCTCGGCCTCCGGCAACCAGATCAGCGGTTACTCTGAGGACCTGGCAGACCGGGCCCAAACAAGGCTTCGGGTTTACAGGGCTTCCATTCTTGGGACTGGCACAGATCCCAGCACTACCGACTACTACCCATTCCGGTGAGCCAGCGACAGTCGGAAGGAGGTCCCGGCCTCTGTCCGGCTTCGGTCTTGTGGAGAGGAGCTCAACTCGAAGAGCGCCGTGTAGAAGTGGATGATCGCCAGGTTTAAAACCTGCCAAAGCGGCGGCTTTGGCTTCGGGATCGCCTCGATTTCACAGGCTTCGGTCTGAGGGCAGCTTCCTTTGAGGGCTGCTTCGGGAGTAGACACAAGCTCTAACACTTGCCGGGTGGACTCCCAGGGGACACTCCTGCAGCAGGCATCAACGATGTGCGTGGATCAAAAGGCGAAGCCGATGGGCGCATGTTATGTGGATCTCCAAACCTAAGCGAACAGGCCCTCAACAGAGTCCTTTGTCGTTGCTGCGTACGCATGCACTGCATCTCATCCTTCGCAAGTATGGCTGTTAACCATTCAGACGAGCAGCTTGGGTAGCCGCAGTGTCCGCGCGGGGGCAAAGAAGATTATCTCTAGGTCTACGCGCTGTACAAGGTCGGAAAGCAAGGGAACCACATTCCTATATATGGATCCACAGCGCACGATGTGCTCACCAATCTCATGCGCTGCGAATCGTCGAATTCCAAGCAAACCTGTCAAAATTGACAAGTGCCCTGTCGTGACAAGAGCTCTGCCCCTGAAACCTTTGGCTTAGAGGCTGTCCGTGAGTCAACTGCAGTCCCTTTTGTGAAGTTGAGTGTCTCCTGCGCTCAACTCCCGACCCAGTTCATGCAGGTCTACGGCAAGTGCAGCGTGTGAGGAACTAAGCTCCGCCACCGCTGAACTTACAGCTCTGTGCTAGTCTCTAAGAGACGAGCATTGCGCCATTATTTGGCATATGCTGGAAATCTAGCTGTTCCAAATCTCTGGGCATTCCAGACTCTTGGTCCAATGCGCACTTTCCTCTTGTACATGAATATGAAAAAACCTAGACCATCAACTCAGAGTCTTGACTGCTCATCAGCGACACTCAGCAGAGTCTCTTCTCTATCGTCCACCGCATTGCTCTGATTGGTAGCATTCGTTCGGTGGCTCGTGAAAACTGACGTGGCCCTTTTCAGAAGCTGGGACATACGGCCTCCTTCGGTGTTTTTCTTCTCTTGGCCTCCGGGAACAACGCATCGCAGCTGCAGTGCTAAAGCTACAACGACATGCAGCTCCCTGAGGATGAAGATGATGTTGAGTTGCGTTGCGATGGCGACGATGACGAAAACTATGGTGATGGTCATGGCAACGACCTTGTGATGTTAATGCTGGTGCCCTCATCGGTGTGGATGCTCGTGATGATGCAGAAGAAAAGACTGAAGATGATAGCGATGACTACTAGCAGTGGATGTGCTGCTCCTTCTCTTGTTTCTCCTTGCTCCTGCTGCTCTGCGGTCCTGCTCTGCTGCAAGTTGGTTCTAGGAGAGGCATGCTCTAGTAGCGACAATACACATGCTCGTCCCAGCTTCGTCTTCCTGGTTCACCTCCTCCTCCCCACGGCCGCTACCGGCCGCTGCCGCGGTAGTGAACCGTGCTCGCTTTCGTTGTCACACTGGTGGGAATGCAAATCGGCTTCCGGCTGTGAGCACAGATTCGCAGGAATAGGAGTCTGAGTAAGTACCTTAAAAGCAGTACCAATACTAGAAAGAACCACCACCACGACAGCAGCAGAAGCAGCAACAGCACCATCAAAGGCAGCAGCAACAGCCCCTCAACAACCACGACCACGACCAGAAACCACAGCGCCACCCCTGCCCACCAGGACCACCACCACCAGCGCAGGATGCAAAACATCGGCCGTCGAAGAAAAGTACAGCAAACGAAAACCTTACAGACCGCCTCGCCGGGCTGACTCAAGAGGCTTCTCCTGCGCACACACAAAACTCTGACAAGCCTCGCATATGTTGAGGGTTTAGGCTTCGGTGTGGGATCATGTCGACAAGGATAGCAGCATGCCATGCCAACGGTACCTAATGGCTAGTAGCTGACAACTCAATCCAAAGCCCCACGTGGAAAGCCTCGGGCGGAACGATGTCCGCTGAAAAGTCCATCTCCTGGGTCGAACAGAAGATCTCGGAACAGCTTGGGGCCCAGAGTAAGGCTTCCAGGTTTGCGACCATTCAAGGTCCCAGGGCATGTTAGATCATATCAGATGGATCTATGAAGCTATGAAGCTATGATGCTAGTGCTGCTCGTGCCTTCAAAACCAGGAAAACCAGAGCTGTCCACTGGGTGTCACCGGGTAGCCCTGAGACAGTATTTCGATGTGACACGGAGACTTTCCCTTAAAGCTTTCCCATGAAATTCCACCCGGGATCCTTAGCTCCACCTGCGTTGCCCGGAATTCCAACCTGCCGGAAACCTAGGAGCTGAGACCTCTTGGAGAAGAAGCCAGAGTTAACAAATAATTGTGGGCCGTTACTTTAGGGTTTAGGGTATAGGGTTGTGACAAGGGTTTAGGGTTCAGCTACTAAAGCCTAATCGGCAATTCTAGATCCTCAACCCTCTATCCTAAACAAGTCCTGCAAGCAGACTGAGCCCCAAATTGCAAGCTCTCCGGGTCAACAAATGTCAGTTGCAAAAGGGCCTCTGCTTCGTTGTCCACCACCTCGTCAGCGTCCCCGAAGAGCTGCTTGGGGCAACTGGGAACCTTCCCAAAGTCCTCTCGGGTCCGAAGGGCTTGGGGATGAAGGCTACGGCCCTAGATCCGAGAACGTGCAGTGCCCTGGAACCTAAGCCCTGTACTCTATATAATATATACTATATAATATATAATATATAATACATAATATATAATATCTAATATCTAATATCTAATATCTAACTAACATATAATATATAATATACTATATGTTATATATTATTAGACTCCCCGGACAACACAATGGCTGAGGCAATTGAAGGGAACAGAGGCTTTTAGCAGTCGGTCCTCTTCTTTCAGGGACATCCCGCTCTTTTCGCTTTTCTGGCTTTTTTGGCTTAGCTGAGGCAAGGGTTCTTGGGGAACCTCTGCATCTTCCTTCCTCTCAGTTTCCGCCTCTTCCTCCTTCACGGCCTCCTTGACTTCTGCCTTCGGATCCTGGCGGCATGTACCCAAGCATTCGAGGCACCCATGAGAAGCGAAGCACCGAGTAGAATAAGTAGAGCGAGATTGCGACCCTTTGATACCACTCTGTGGACATCTTAGGGTAAAAATCGTCCTCCGGCACCGGTTCCAGAGGCTCAGCCGGGGCTTGCGGCTCCTCTGGGCCCTCCTTGCCCTGACACTTTTGGGCTGCCTTCCGCTTCTTCCTGAGTCTTAAGAATCAGACGGGGAGGTTTCTTGAAGTTCGGGGTCGCGTGTTCTGTGGTCCGGTCTGGTTGAAGGGCCAGGATTATAAAAGTTTCAGATCCGCCAGCATCATGACCATCATCGCTACAACCATCATGCTCACACTCGTAGCAGAACACCTCCTCGCCGACGCAACAGTAGCAATCGTTGCAGTAGTAGTTGCCGTGGTGGTGGTGGTGGTGGTGGTGGCAGAAGTAGTAGTAGTAGTAGTAGTAGTAGTAGCAGTAGCAGCACTAGCAGCAGCGTTAGCAGCAGCAGCAGCAGCAGTAGCAGTGGCAGAGGCAGTGGCAGTAGCAGTAGCAGTGGGATTGGTAGGAGTAGTAGTGGTGGTGGTGGTGGTAGTAGTAGCAGCAGCAGCAGCAGCAGTAGCAGTAGCAGCAGTAGTAATAGGAGTAGTAGTAGTAGTAGCAGCAGTAGTAGTAGTAGTAGTAATAGTAGTAGTAGTAGTAGTAGTAGTAGTAGTAGTCGTGGTGGTGGTAGTAGTAGTAGTAGGAGGAGTAGCAGCAGCAGCAGCAG